AAATATATTATATTTTTGTATTTATAATTGAATCTATATAAATTAATAATTTTGAAATCATAATATTTTTTTTAAAGTTTTTTTTTTTTTTTAAACTCATAATCAAGCTAGTATTGTTTTATTTATTAAATTATAGAATCAATTACAAGTATAAGAATATATATAAAGTATAAATCTTTTTAACTCAACTTACCTATCAATAGTTGAAACCTCTAGATGTAATTTATAAAGGTAATATATTGTTTTCTTAATAGATAAAATTAAGATTCAAAGCTTTTAATAGAATTAAAATCTGTAAATCATTTCTATAGTTATGATCATAAATCCAAATTGTATCAAATCTCTTTTGTAAAAACTATATAAAGGGAAAGAAATAAAAAAGAAATTTTAAAGAAAAAAAGAAATAGTATAAATATATATAAAAAAAAACAATAAAAGAAAAAAAAAAGTTATCATTTATTCTAACTATTATTGGAAAGGTTATCTCTATAATCCAAATACCTAAGCTACTTATAATTGCTATTATACTTATTTTTCATCATCAGTGATTAGCTAAACTATTTAATTTTTATTAAAGTAATAATATTCAAAAATATTTAAGGGCACTTTCAAGAGAGTATTTTTTGAAACTTTATACTTAAAGATTTCTAATTAGAAAAAATATTGGTTTTCTATTGTTGATTTCTTTTTTAAATTATATTTTATGGAATTATTACTTTACTTAATCAATAAATAGTTTCAAAATTTCTTTTTTTAATCATTTTTGGAATAAATAATTATTACTTCAACTTGTTATCAGATTGAAATAAGACTTGAGTCTTGTATCTACTTTCTACCACTAGAAAAATAAAGAAGAAAAAAAGAAGAAAAAACAAAAAGAAATTGTTTCTCTTTACTTACAACTTTAACTTTACTTAATACTTCCATACTATTTCTTTAATTAAAAACTATCCAACTTTTTCAGGAACCAATTATATTATCAGATTTGATATTGTGTAACTAGAAATATATAAAAGGACATGTCTTGTTTATTTTTTCTATGACTGATATGATCAATTAATCTGTAACCTTGATTAATTATTTTTTAAAAGATTTAATGTAATTAAAAATTTAGAATCAAATTGAGATAAGCAAAATTCCTTAAAAAAATCAGAAAAAAGAAAGTATACTTAAGAAAAAAGAAATAAAAAGTCAAGAAAATAATAAAAAAATTGAAAATTTCTTTTTTTTTTATTTTTCTGGATTTTTGAATCTTTTGAGAGTTTTTGAAATATATATGTAGTAGAAATTGATAGATTTTTAATATAATTTGATACAATTAATTGATATAATTAATTGAGTTATTGATTCAAATGCAATTATTTTTAAGAATTTTGGTAATTGAGTCAATAGCAAAATAATTTATATCATATGTATATTTTGAAAAATATTTTTTCTTGTCAGTTTTAGTGGTATAATTATAGTCTATATAAACTATAATTATACCACTTAGTTTAGACTATAACCATCCCAAGTATATGTCGCGACGACAGAAATGCAACACCGTCGTCAGTGTCATGACGACAGAAATACGACACCGTCGTCAGTATCGTGATATATATTTTATGACACATTTTTGACGATAGAAATGCGACATCGTCGTCAGTGTTGTGATATATATTTTATGACACATTTTTGACGATAGAAATGCGACATCGTCGTCAGTGTCGTGATATATATTTTATGACACATAGATAAAAAAATATATCTGACGATGCATTCAATTATATATCGTCATTTATGGGCCCGACGTGAGGGCTATGCCCGAACTTGGCACGTAGTGCCTTAGCTTTCTAATTAATTTCTCGATGAGGGCCAGGTTTGAGGCACATAGTGCCGAAATAGTATTCGTATTCTGGCTTTGTATGATGCACTCGAATATCGATCGAGGATGAAGTATATAGTGCTGAATTGCTAACTGTTATAATTCATTCAAATATCGCTCAATGATGAGGCATGTAGTGCCGAATTGTTACCTATTATATTATCCGAGCATGAGGCACGTAGTGTCGAATTGTTACCTATTATATTATCCGAGCATGAGGCACGTAGTGCCAAATTGTTATCCCTATTTGGTAACCCACCAAAGCATAATTTTATAATATATATATATCTGTAATAATTTTACTTTGGCGTCCTACCGATTTTTTTTCAAATTATATATCTAATTATATTCCATTATTCACCAAACTTTGACCCATAAATTTTAATACTTTGCTGTCCTACCGAATTATAATATCCGATACTTTGACGTCCTACTTTTTAGAATACTTTGATGTCCTACTTTTTTAGAGTACTTTGTACTTCGTGAAACATATCTCGAAATATATTACATGTATATTACTTACCTAGAACCACATCTCGATTAAAATCGCACGACACAAAAACCTCTTTATATGATCCAAGTATCGGAATATTAATTTTTTATTTGAATTTTTTCTCTTATTTATTGTAAGAGGTGACAAAAAACCCCCTACCTGAGATAAATAACTAGTTAAATATAACAATTTTTCTTCTCCAGAAATTACTACTAAAACTAGATAATATTGTCTTAGTACCTTATATTTGCTTTATTGAAAGATTTATAACGATTATGTGTATTCAATGATTGCTAGAGATTTATTTTTCAATTCTTTTTTGTGCAGAGTAGTAGAAACTTTCATTTTAGCCTCAAAATTTCACTTGTATTCCAGGAAAGCGACCTCATTCATACTCTCGCACTCTTTTTTCTTTTTTTCTCTCGAGTTCGAAAAAAAGTGATACCTTCAAGGTATATTTAATTAAAATATCTAAAATTGAGTGATGAAGGTAAGATTATATCAGCTTATCCAATCTACATATATCATTAATTTTCATTAATAACTTTTTTATATGTTTTAGTAGAACCTTCTTTGAAGATAAATCAGAGAATATAAAATATAAATCAAACTTAATGTACCATTACCTATAATCTGTTTGACCAGCCAGAGTTAATAGCACATATTATCAAAAATCTAGCACCAAAAGATCTTGCAAAATGCCTTTATATCAATCAAATATAGAATAAGAAAGCAAAATGTGAGTTCTTTATAAGGCAAGAAAAACTTGATAATATATTTTGGGAATTAGATTCAGAATTACAGTAGAAGAAGCTAGAGAAGAATATGCCTGGTGAATTGGTGGTGTTAATCCGAAAATCGAAAATCCTTATGTAAGAATAAATTTTTTGAATAGTAAATTGTTTGGAATTATTAAAAGACTGCAAGAATTAGAACATTACATGTTGAGTAATAATATCATTGATAGAATAGAGAGGCACATTATATGTATGGTAAGGTTATTTCAATATGAGCCAGTATATAAATATTGAAATATTCAGTTAAATTCTAATACTTGGTTATCTGACCATATATCCCACAATCGATCATTTTTTTTATAACCCTTTATTTCAAAGAAATAGCTCTTCGAGCCTAGAGTCGCTCCTTTAGGCCTGCGGAGCAATGGCTCTTCGAGCCTACCTTTATTCCATATGCGTCTCACAAACTACACAATCGCAATAATCAACAAAGCAAGTAACATATATGCCAATAGCAGTCTCATTAAAGTGGATGTATTATTTTCCGGCTGTACAAGATAAGAAATCATATTCTCACTAATTTTGTTAATGTTAGTTCCCTCATTTATCTTAGGACTAATCTTGGTATCATTTTTTGGTAGTTCGGTAATCTCATCATTAGTATATGTCGAGTTACCATTATTGATTTTTTTGGTTTGATCCATACTTTTTCCGCGTACAAAATACTTACTTAGATTTTTGCTAGATTTATTAGACACGTAAGTGTTATGATTCGAAGAAGAGACAGAGTCTCGAATCTCCGATTCATCACCCGATAGCCTGCTTTGCAATACTGCAGATATATCATCAGACTTGGTCATAGAACTTTGTTCCTCGCACAGCATATTTTTTTCATCGTTTCCACCAAGTATGGGATTTGATATAGCCACCAATTTCAGACACTCAAGTTCACTGACTTTCGAAACTAACTCATGTTCTACTTCAGCTATTTTGGATTTGAGAGATATGATCTCAGTTTCTTTTTTCGATGAGTCGTTTTGAATCGAAATCACATCTTTCTGGATTGAAGACAACCTACCTTCCAATATCTCAATCATAGACTCAAGCAATCTAATTTTCTTAGATTTTATATCATTCTTAGCTTTGGACCCATCCAGTTTTTTACTCCACTTCTTTTTATTCCAATCCCATCCTTTTCTTTCTCGATCAAAATTCTTCTTTTGCTTTATATATTTATTCCGCAACTCACTGTTATAGTTATGTAATTTAGAGGAAGATTGAAGCATATGATATATTTCTTCCTCAAGGTCTTTCACATATGTCATATCAAATAATAGATAATATAATAAAAAAATGATAAGTTTTTATTGCACTGCTTGTAGTCATACTAATCGAATGTTGACTGAAGATATTAATCAAATCCTAATAAAAAAGAATAAATCGAACAAAGGTTAGATATTAATCAATTTTATCAATCTAATATTTACCGAAATAGAATTAGATGTTAACCGAATAAAGATTAAATATTAATTAATATATCTAAATCGAATATTTACCGAAATAGGATTAGATGTTAACCGAATGATCTAGATATATCGAAACAAAATTGAATATTTACCGAACAGTCTAGATATATATCGAAACTAGATTGAAAAACTTTCGAATTTATATCAAAATATTTTTTTATTTTTATAAATAAATCATGACTCAAAACTCTGAAAAAATAATTCGATATCTGCGATCTGATGCAATTCCTTTATCAGATGATAATATACAAGATATCATTAATGCTAGAAATTCGATGAAACGTGCATCAGAAGTCATGGCTATCAAATATAAAATATCAACAAGGTGCGTATATCAAATATGGAGGGAAATCCATCCTCCAATAGATCCTAGGGAAGTGATGTCGCAATCAAATATTGGCGGAGACAATATGGTTAATAAAACTGATATGAGCATGAAAACTCGATCCATAAATCATATTACATATTCTGTAGAAACTCCTATCGTTACTTCGGGTATACAGACAAAGAGAAAAAAACTGAGATCTAAGACTAATCGAATTTTTGACCCATCTAATATTATCGCCGAGGGAGGTTACACAGTGGATAGTAAAGTTAATACTGCTAAAATTATAACAAAAAAAGTGGGAGAGAAAAATGACCTATATGTTTTAATCGAACGTGATCATAAAGAAACAGAAGAATATGAACGTGAATCAGAAAGAATTTTAGTCACGAAGTGACTGCTTTCGGCAAATTTCAACTAATCAATCTTTGCTTTTTCTAGAGTATTTTGTATCCCGAATAGTATATCACCATTGGCAACTTTCTCAGACTTATTTATATGAAGTTGCAACTTTTTATTGAGCTCAATTAATTTAACCTTGGATGCAAGTACTTCATATAGCAATTTTTCTAACTCCTCATAACTCATGCGTTTTTTTTTAACGACAGATCATCAGAATCTGGGCTGAAACCCACAGGAGCATGTTATTCTTCTAATGGTATGTTGTTATTCTTATCACTATCCGTCTCTTGAAAAAGTTGATCAGATACCAAAGGCTTATTATTCTGAGATGTGGTAGTGCAATTTACTTCAAGTTTATTCTTGACTTTGTACATAGTAACCGGAATAATAAAATCTTCTCCATTATAATGAATTTTCATTTTATCATTATCCCAATCTACAGCACATTTATATTTTTTGAGAAGCGGGTTTGGGAATATTAATGTCGGTTTGGGAACACGTACAACTATAATATCTTCACGTATAGTAAAACCTGAAGAAAATGTTATTGGTAAATTACAAGTGATGCTGATAGATTCCGTTGGAACAGTAGCAACACTACTAAGATCATATTTTTCCGACCTATCTATTTTTCCGCCTATATATTTAACAATATCTTTTGATACAATTGCAGGTTCAGCACCACTATCTAGTATCAATGCTGGAATTTTTAAGCATTTAATTTTAACTGGTATAGTTGCAATACTAATTACCGGTTCTTTCCGACAGACAAAATCAATCTCTATAGGATCGTTCAGCATCTTTTTTTCGTCATCTGATGCAGGTATTTCTGGGGCCGGCTCTCGAAAATTTATAAAGTCAGGTTTTGCAGGCCCTTCAGGAGCGACTCTTCGAGTTATAGATAAATTCGTAGTATTAATATTGTTTTTAATTGTTTCTATAACCTCTGGATCATTAAACATAGCTAGAATAATTTTTCGAATTTATGAGTTGATAATCGTATCTGATTTCTTTTGTGAAGTACGTTTCTTTGAACTAGACTTCTTTTTAGAGGATAATTTACTCTTTCGCTTTACTTTTTTTTTGATTTAACAGTATTGATAGCATTTATAATTTTCATGATGTCATCCTCAATAAAGTTATTCTCAGAATCAGATTCCGATTCAGAACCAGAAACAGATCCAGACTTAGAGTCAGAATTAGATTCATTATCTGAAGAGTTTGTATTAGAATCAGAGTCAGAACCCAAATCTACAGTAGTAATATTGACACTGCCTTTTTTCTTGGACTTGCGCTTGTTAGAACGGCCAGATTTGTTCTTGTTAGAACATCTAGACTTGCTTTTCTTTTTATTTTCAAGGCAGTTGCGAGAATTATGACCTGTTTCATCACACTTTGAACATCTGTATTGGGATGACTTTAAAACTGCATGTATTAATCGAGCTAATTTTGCTTGATTGATATCCAACTCCTCGAATTGTAATCTCAGATCTTCAACCGGGTCATAATCATAATCATCTCCTGGTAAACCTGTATTATCAAAAATACTATCTAAAAAACGGTCTATAGCAAGTTCATCAGCTTTTTGTTTTCCTGGTCCAGAGGGTTTTTTCAAAGTTTGCTATCCTTTGGCAATAGTTCCCTTCAAACCCGCTATAAGTTTTTTGAAATCATTTTGTGAAAGTATGATTTGATTAGACTGTTCTTCTTGAGGCTTAGAAGCAGTGGATTGTATAGCTGGCATTATAGATTTTATCAAGTTTTTAACTTCAGTTTCGGTCAAACCTGTATTGATACTTTTTTCATAGGGATTAGGCACTTGACCTCCAGAAGGTGGGAATGGAAAGTTGCCTTGTAATAGTGAAAATTTTTCTGCTTCAACTAATGCTTTTGTAATATTATCTCTAGTGTCATGATATTTAGCCATCATGCGGATATTGTATTGATTCATAGGATTTAATCCCCAAATATATTGCTCTCTCATTTTTGATTCTGGTAATCCAGCAAGTTTTCCAAGTTTTGATATCTTGGCATTATATTCGAGTATTGACATACCTCTTTGCATAATCTGACCAAAGAAAAGCAAATTTTTTTGTGCTTCAACTGTAGGATAAAGATATTCAAGACAGTATAAAAATTGCCCAAGAGTCATTTCGGGTGCAACAATTGAATTACCTGCACCAGCATTCGCATAATTGGCTGGAGATGGAGTTCCTACAGGTGCAGGATGTCCTCCAGCTATACTCCAATCTTCATCCCATGTATCTGCTGGAATAATATTAGCACCGGTTATTGTAATATCACCCCCAGCATTATTTCTTACAATCAAGGCTTCTCCAAGAAACTGATTTGCATTAATACCTGTTAAAGTGCCATTATTTAATGCTCAAATTGCATTTAAGTCATTTACACCAGTACCATCAAGAATATTATCACATTGCCAGTTTCTACTTTTGATCTCGTTTTCATACCAGGTTTTTGCTTCACCAACTATACATAATATACCTAAATTATATGCTTCTGCTCTATCAGCAACTCCTTCTGCACCAGCTATAACATTTATTCAAGATGCAATTACAAATCTCTTGAATTCTAAAATCCAATCTGATGGATCTTCTCCAGCTTTTTCAGTAAAAAGAGGTGGTCCATTTCCTATCATGTTCGATATTTGTATCTGAGATGGATTTAGTAATATATTATTCTGTAAATGTAAAATTTGTCCTTATAAATTCAAAATTAATTGCTGTGAATTGTGCTTCCTATTTTTCCACTTGATATGACTTGCCTTCTGATCCTTAAATTTATTGTAATATCTATCAAAAAGCCGATCACGATTATATTCTAATAATCCTTTATCAGCCTGGCATTGTTGTAGCTCCTGCTTTAGCCAATGAATAGATATCTTATAAATAATTTCGAGAGAACGCCTGATTTTAGATTGTTTTTCTAATGTCAAGGTAACATTATGCCACAAATGCCCTCGCAAATTATATCTTTGTTGGCTATTATTAAGATATCTAGTAAGTTGATTAATACGATTCCGCAAGGTATTTCATTCTGGTATAAGTTGATTGACATGATTCTGCAAGGTACAGTATCTCGTTCTGGTATAAGTTGGTTAACATTAGGGTTCCGATCGGTACCATTCGGTACGGTATTTTGTAAAACTGATACCGAAAAAATTTTTTGGTATCGGTATCAATAATTACCGAAAATTTTCGATACGATAATTTAAAGTACCGATATCGAACCGAAGTACTGAAAGTATTAATACTAATTAAAATATTGTATAAAGTTTCAATTAATACTATTTTATATATCATATATCATTGACACTATAATCCTAATTATTTTCTTTCAAGGCTGAGGAAAAATACAGCCTTTTTATAATGTTTTGATCAATT